ACCGAAATATATATGAGCTTTGGAGTGGTTTGAGGATTAGGAAGAGAGGGGTAACGAATGGAGACAAAACCAGGGGAGGCAGGAGTGGTGAAGACAGGGGTGGTAGAGTAGTCGGAAGGTGGGTAACAGACGGAGATAAAACCAGGGGAAATAAAGGTGGTGAAGACGGGGGTGATGAAGTCAGGGGTGGTGAAGGGGGGCCAGTCATAGGTGAGACCCGAAGAGGGGACTCTGCAGGTGGTAATGCAGGCATGGCCACCGATGCCATGAAGGAACACACCGAGACCATCGCCCTTGGTCTCAGTGTGTTCCTCCATGGCATGGGTGGCCATGCCTGCATTACCACCTGCAGAGTCCCCTCTTCGGGTCTCACCTATGACTGGCCCCCCTTCACCACCCCTGACTTCATCACCCCCGTCTTCACCACCTTTATTTCCCCTGGTTTTATCTCTGTCTGTTACCCACCTTCCGACTACTCTACCACCCCTGTCTTCACCACTCTTGCCTCCCCTGGTTTTGTCTCCATTCGTTACCCCTCTTCCTAATCCACAAACCACTCCGTCCACACAGACTTCGTGATCCTGTTCTGCCCCTCCAGAAAGCCTACGTCGTCGTCCTAGACGCCGGATTACTCCCTAGCCTCAACTTACTCCCCTTTCCTCCATCTCTATTCTTGGACGAAGAAGAACCCGTTCATTCTCCCCACCACGGCCCTCCCCAACATCCCGTCCCCGTCTTTTGCCGCCACAAGCATCCGTACCATGCCTGCGACGCTCTTCGACTGCAGACCTTTCTGCAATGAGGCAAACACAAAATAGGAGGGATGATGGTGAGGGTCCATCCGAGGATGAACTTGGCAAGGGGACTGTAGGAGATTCTGTACAAAATCCGCCTGACCGGCCTCCACCGAATCTGTGTGGTCTTGCTGCTACTAACATCTGCCTACAAGCCTATCGTCGGGAACCATGTACTCACTCTGATTTCTTGGCCATTGCTTCTGATCTTGATGCTCAGGAACGTGAGTTATATGGCGATAACCCGACTCTGCATCCCCCACAGGATAGTRATTACACTCGACATGGGGGATTCAATGTCTCTGTTTTGGAGACTGCTTTGATAAGGCGCAGGCTTGATATGCAGCGTGCCCCTTCGGGTGGCGACCCGGACCACTGTTCGCACGTTTGTGCCTATATTCTACATACTCCTGGCCACTACACTGCTCTTGTCCGTGCGTATGGTTTTTGGGAATTATGGAATGGCGGTGCTATGGTGCAAACTATTACTGCCATCTGTGATCTCGTGCGTAATTACCCTAACCTGCAACTGCTCCAGGTCATTGACCCTATGGGTACCTCAAGTACTTCCATGCCCGCCTCTACGTCTATCTCTGTGCCTGCCTCCGTACCTGTCTCTGTGCCTGTTTCTGTGTCTGTCTCCTTCCAGGTTACTGACCCTATAGGTACCTCATGTACTTCCGTCCCCGCCTCTGCACCTGTCTCTGTGCCTGCCTCCACACCTGTCTCTGTGCCTGCCTCCGCACCTGTCTCCATGCCCGTTTCTGTGTCTGTCTCCATGCCGGTTTCTGTGTCTGTCTCCATGCCCGTTTTTGTGTCTGTCTCCGTGCCTACCTCCATGTTTGTCACCGTGCCTGCTTTAGTCTTCATTCCCCCACATGCTGCACTAACACCTTGTGACCTCCTTCTTTGTGAGATCACTGACACAGTTACACTTGGTTGTGGAAAGCATCGACTTTGTCGACATCACTACAACCATATAATTTTTTGGGCCCGCTGTCGGCAGGGATGCCACCTGTATCCGGATTGTGAACATCCTCTGCATCTAGATGCAGTATGTCCCATCTGTGCCTACGGGCGCTATAGCGAATGTGCACTTAACTGTGATGGTGAACGCCCCACAGTGGTCATGGCCTGCAACCGGCATGCCCTCTGTCGTGCATGCTTCAGAGGTATGGTCGATGCTAGCCGTTCTGGCTCCTGCTGTGACGAAGTTGCTTACCTGAATGGTTTTCGGCGGGAGGGCTGCTACCATCGCCCACATCCTTATGATAGTTGTCCTATCTGTCGTGAGGGTCTTACTTAGACGTACCTTGCACCCTGACAAAAATGTGCAGGTGCGCTGAAAAGAGTGCACGAGAATGTGCAAAGATGGGAAACCCTTCACTAAAACTGCAAGATTGTGAAAGAAGAATGCAGTAAAAGAAAGAAGAAATTTGTGTCATTTTACTTTGTTTGTACCCTGCACCCTAACACCCTCAAAGAAAAAGTCCGAAGGGTGAAAATGAGAATAAAAAATGAAGAAGGAAGTGCAGGTGCACTGAAAAATGAATGTGGTAGACTCTTCACCAGAACTGCAAAACTGTGAAAGAAAGAAGAATGCAGTAAAAGAAAGAAGAAATTTGTGTCATTTTACTTTGTTTGTACCCTGCACCCTAACACCCTCAAAGAAAAAGTCCGAAGGGTGAAAATGAGAATAAAAAATGAAGAAGGAAGTGCAGGTGCACTGAAAAATGAATGTGGTAGACTCTTCACCAGAACTGCAAAACTGTGAAAGAAAGAAGAATGCAGTAAAAGAAAGAAGTTGTTTGTGTCACCCTTATTTTATTTTTATTTTTTCTCCCTCTGCCTATCGATTTTCCTTTTCTGCTCCTCTCTCCCTTGTGTTTGACACCTCTTCCTTCACTCTGCCTCTTTCCCATAGCGTGCAAGTGGGCTGTTATGGTATACGGGGATGGGGGCAGCTCCCGCTCAACTTCAGCAAAGTGGCGGGCCTTGTACGTTAGAGGCACGGTGGAGGAGGAGTTAAGAAGACTGAGAAATTGAATGATTTCAATGTGTCTTTATTTTTTATTTTTATCCTTTGTTCAGGGTAAAAACATTTTGTAAAACACTGAAAGAAATAAGAATACAGTGAATCAAAGACGAAGACACTGTTTTGTGTCATCTAGTTTGTCTGCCTCTTTGCCTGTCTGTCCTTTCATTTTTCTTTTCTTCGCTCATCTTGTTTCTTCTTCTACTTCACGTGCTTACGCTCTTAGTCAATAGTTCTGTGACAATATATATGAGCGTCTGGGGAGCAAGGACAATGGCTGTCCCGAGGCTTGCTAGGAGGGTGGGAAATACCACAGAGGGATGTAAGATGCCGATAGAGGAAAGTCATAAAACAAAAAGTCGTTCAAATAACTTTAGGCTTTAGCACAAAATGTGCGGCTTTACTCTCACAAAGGCCATAATGTGCTTACAATGCCTTACGTAGAATGTTTCTGGTATGCATAAAGCACATCCATAGCTGAGTGGCTTGCTTCAGAAAGACTGCCATCTTCAAACAACTTTGAAACAGTTGTTTGATGGCGAAGTAGCCTGTAGCATTCATTGGCTCATGTCATAGGGGATTGAAATACGGACACCAATACCGAGAATCAGAGGAGAAGGACAAACAGGATGAAGAACAATATCAAATGCTTGAAGGACAGACGCCTAAGAAGCAGGGTGAAAACAAAATTGAAGTTGGTAGAGGCATATAAAAGTGATAGAGGCCGGACTTTCCGCTAGTTAGTTCACACTACTACTGAAGGATGGACAAATAAAACCCCCCAGCATATGTAAATGAAAGCAGCACCGGCAGCCATGAAAGATGCTCTAGGAACAGATAACAGGTGGGGATGGAGGAGATCAGAACTCTTAAAGAAAGCATAACCCCGACACCCCTTTCCCCCTGCCCCCCCCCTCCAAAAAAAAAACACAAAAGAAGACAGGGAGAACGTGGCATAGAGATGCAGAGGTCACTGTTATTGACAACAATAGGCTAACAGTAGGAGATGAGAAACAATTCAACCAGAGCGTCCAAGGCTAGAGAAGTTAAGGCATCAACAGCCATGAAACGGAAAGGGAGTGAGAGTGAGACGGGAGTGACACAGTGAGAAAGAAAAAGATAGGGCAGGAGAGGAACTGTGAAAGAAAATAGGAGGGAGGACAATGACTCTGTCGGTGCAACTGGGGAGAGGTGTAGTGCTTTTCATCTCAAGAGACTGATGCTTATTTTCTGGGTTACAGGCAGAGATGGAAGTGGCTGTTGCTCCCTGGAATGGAGAGGAGGTGGCCATAAGACCGTGCCTTTTTTAGCACTTTTATAAACCACCACTACCTTTCAGAGGCGAAGGCTAAAGTCGTGAATATAACCTATAGTACCCTATACCGCATTCTTTGGAGGTCGGGTGCCATCACACCAAAATGGCTGGCGGTGCTAACCAAAGCAAAAGAAAAAAGGTCACGCTGCCGCTTCGGCAAAGCTTGGCACACAGTTCTACTCTGCCTCGGCAAAAGGAGGCTTAGAAGTAGTGGTGGTTTAAGAAAAAAGATGAGCAGAGGAGTAGGGGGCTACATCATGCCAAAAGGCAACTACATCAGGGTCAGAGATGAGGGAGGCACGCAAAGCGTTGCACGGTCTGAATGTGAAAAGAGAAGGGGCCAAAAGGGTTTATCGAGTGACAATGACTAAATGACTCACGACACCAGAACAATTTGCCAGAAGGCAGCGGCATCTGTATCAGAGCGGAGGGGTTAAGCACGCAAAAGGCATAAAGGCATGTTCCTCACCAAGCGAGTATGCTCACTATCGGACTTGGACCAATAACCCGTAGGAACAGATTTCAAGTCTGTCGTGTTTGCCGTTGTCACCAAGTGAGCTTGATTTCAAACTAAGCAGACTCAGTCATAACGGGTTATCATGCCTTTGTGCTGAGGGGTGAAGCATGCAAAGTGTTGCACAGTCTGAATGTGGAAAGAGAAGGGGCCAAAAGGGTTTTATCGACTGACAATGACTAGATGACTTATGATACCAGAACGATTTGCTTTACCAGATGTCTTCTTTTGGCTGGGTTTTGTATTATTCTTTTTGTTTGCTGAGACGGTCGGGAAATTCTGTAAGCGTTCAAAAACAGACATCTCTTCTTGCTGGAAATGTCCTTTGGGAAAATTTGACAGGCTGGTCACCAAAGACGATCAAGCTTGTCAAGCAACTTGCTCTCTCAAATAAATCCAGGAACAAGAAGCAGAAACGTGCAGTGGTCATCATGGGGAGTACTGAAAAGCGAGCAATGGATGAAGAGTTGCGCAAAGCAGTTCCATTATATGAACGATATGGTTCAACGGTGGGCCCTTGTCCCTCCTCCTCTTCCTCAACCCCACCTTTCCTTCCTTTTCCTCTACCCCACCTTTCCCTCCTCTTCCTCTACCCCTCTCCCTCCTCTTCCTCTACCCCACCTTTCCCTCCTCTTCCCCACCATTATCTTTCTCTCTTCCTCTTGCTTCTTGTCCGTTCCACCACTCGCCTTTCCCTCCCCTTCCTTCTTCATTCTTCTAGGATATGAAAGGTTCAATTTCATGCAAAGTACAGAGGGAATGGCCAAACTTGAAATGCAACTGAACGAAGACAATGTGGCCAGGTCGAGGAGAGAGATGGAGAAAGAAGAGAACTCAGAAGCTCATGAGAACTCAAAGCTTGAATCAATACCCATCGTGCCACCACCACTAAGTTTCTTTTTTCTTTTTTTTCGTTTTTTTTTCAACGAACAGAACCTTATGATCCTGGCTCCTTTCTATTCTGGCGAGCATCAGTCCGGTTCCCTTTCCACAGGTAAGTCAGAATTATACGTATGTTATGATCCTGGCTATCTTGTAGTGCAAAAACTCAAAGAAAGACAATGTCGTTCCATTGCAACTGAAATGAAAGAACTTGGAAGGGGAAATAGGCAACAGAGGAAGAAGAAATAAGAATGGAAGAAGAAGAAGAAGATGAACACCAGCAACGACCAATGTCAATCCCCCTTTATCTCACCAGCATCTTCATCCGCCAATAACTCCTCCAACCTCTCGTCAACAATAACAAGTCGACGTAGCCACGGTGCAGGGCGAGACTCTTCTTTCACAAGCCAGGCAGACGTGCCGCGCCCTTCTCCACCCTTGGTTCACCTCGAGGACACTATGGGGCCCAGATGCACCGTGACTCTTTTCTTTCACGAGCCAGGCGGACGTGCCGTGCCTTCCTCCCACCCTCCATCCGCCTCTGGGATACTATGTAGCCCAAGTGATACTATGTGCGTCGGGTGGTGCTTCGGCGGGCGGGTCATGGTATGCAGACCGGGTACAGTGCATTGTCGGTGGGCAATGCCACATGGGCTGGGAGGTAGAAACGACCAACCCCCCTCAAAGAGGGGGAAAAAAAAGACAAGTGGGAGGTACATTCGAAAGCCATGTTCCTCTTTGCATCCATCTGAACGGGCTTCCTATGTACTTGTAATCGAACATGAGTCGAGGCCTGTCGCACCCAAACCCGTTCCGTGGCAGAAGCAGGGGAATGAAAAAAGGGAAGGGACTGAATCTGCAAGAAAAGCCTGTTTCTGACGATCACTACCCTCCAGGGCCTACTCGCTCGAACATGAGGGGACCGCGCGATGCATCGGGGTGCGAAGTGCACAGGCCTGCAAAAAATGTAAGTTTTGTTCTCATACTCGCTATGTACGTGCTGTCGAACATGAGGGGAAGCTCCAGGCGTTGCCATGCCCTGTGGACACCTCATGTTCTGTGCGTGCATTCCAACATGAGGAGACTACCGACATTGTCATGCCCTGCGGTCTCCTCATGTTCTAATGCACGTACATTGTGTAAGATTCGTTCTCATACTCGCTATGTACATGCATGCGAACATGAGGGGAGACCGCAGGCATTGTTGTGCCCTGCGGTCTCCTCATGTTATGTACGTGCATTCAAATATAAAGGGACCTGCGGTCTCCTCATGTTTGAATGCATGTACGTGGCGAGTATGAGAATGACTCTTACACCGCCATTCCTTTTGCGTTCTTTTATAGGTTTGTGCGCTTTGCACCCCGATGCGTCGTCCGGTCTCCTCACGTTCGAACACAAGTGCATAGTGAGCGCTTTGCACCCCGATGCGTTGTGCAGGCTCCTCACGTTCAAACACAAGTGCATAGTGAGCGCTCTGCACCCCGATGTGTCGTGCGGTCTCCTCATGTTCGAACACAAGCGCATAGTCAGCGCTTTGCACCCTGATGCGCCGTGCAGTCTCCCCATGTTCGAACACAAGTGCATAGTGAGCATCTAAGGGCATTACAGACCTGTTATTGCCTCACAGCGGTGCTTCTGATATTATTCCTGGTCATGAAAGAAAAGTTTGGGGAATTGTGGACGTTGTAGCTGATGAAAAGTGAAATTTGGACAATCGAACTCAAAATGGGGACGGCAAGAGAAATCCTTGACTCTTTGACTTTCATGCTCAGGTTGAGCATGACTTTTGCCTTTCCTAGGGTGTACTTTCATATCTTAGAGGCCTTGGGCCTGAAAGTTTGGGCTCGATCGTTGACTTTTCCTACATCTCTTGGATTCTTTGCTTTTGACACCAAGGGCAATGTAGTAATTGTGAAGCTAATGTATTTTTTTATGGTTCCTGACTTCCTGTGTGATTTATGTCTTGGGCTACAGATCGTGACAAGAGAGGGGACACCAATGGTGCTGGACAGTTTGCGGAAATGCAGCACATCGGACGCCAAGTCGATAGTTGTGCTCTCTCCTGAGGAGAAAAGGCTCCCAGATGAGAAAGATGCTCAGGTTTTTTCACCTCTCTTCCACTCCTTTTTTTTAACAGAAATTTCTAAAGCTTCGTCACACCTTTGGTCGCATCCCATTTTGACACACGTTTGGCAGCAAGGGTGCTCCCTCTTTTGAAAGGGGGGATAATGGAGCATGCCAAGGCTTGAACCATGGACGTCTGGGTACTGTTATGTGTTTTTTGGTGTCCATCCTGGGTGGGGACTCCTTCACACCGCTTACGTTTTCTCTTTTCTTTTCTCTTTTCTGGCCTCTCCTTGGGCTTGGTACGCTCGTATTTTCTGCAGTGCCCACTTGGACAGTCTAATGGCATTTTTTTGGGGTCTCGAACTCATTCTGAATCTGATCCCCCCTTCAGCTTGGGTTCATTCTATCTCCAACACAGCTAACCGTTGTTAACTTGTTATTCGTAACCAGTGTTCATTCAGTTTGGGATTCATCCACCCACAGTGCTCAGCACTGTTCATTCAGTTTTCGATTCATTTAAGTCCATGCTGAAGTTACGAATTCAATGGTCCTGAATCCTGATCACACCCCTAGATGTCAATTTCAGGTTCAGTCTAATTGTACAACTTCCAGGCACCAGTCCTGTTTCACTTTCATCGTTTCAGGTTTTGGGCTCTAGAACGCCCTAGATCATTCCAGAGCTCTACGGCGCCCTAATGGATCCATCCCAACTGCTACCCTCATTCCAGGTGGTTCTCTCACCACCACCTGGATGGGAGGAGTAGCATCGTGATGTTAAAAAAAAAAAAAAAAAAAAAAAAAAAACAAACAAACAAACAAACAAACAAACAAACAAACAAACAAACAAACAAACAAACAAACTTGAAAAAAGAGCTCTAGAACGCCGTAACCGCTGTCTGGAGAAGCATCCACGTACTTGTTCCGCCTCTTTTTCTTTCGCGTGCCATCCTTGTGCAGGGGGCATGCTAATCTTCTCAGTGCCGTTCCAGCATTAATGGAATTCCCGAAGGACAAGTTGCTCCTTCTCCATTGAGTCTGTCAGCAGTTTTGAATCACCTTTGTGGGTTTGACAGACGTTACTTGCATTATTGTGCATTTTTGAGTTAGTGGAAGTTTCTTTGGATCCCTCTGTTTATCGTGAACTGACTACATGGCAATGCACCCCCTGTTTATATTTCCTTTATTTATCGACTTGCTCCCCTTACTCTTCATTGCCTGTGCATTTGCTTTTTTCTGTCACAGGTGCTGCAAACATGTCTTGTTCTTGCATACTATCCTGAAGCGAAAGCTGAGGTTATTGCTGAGATGGCAGAAATTGACAATATCAAGGTATTGAGGAAAATGGCACAGAAACTGCCCAGGCATCCAACTCAGCATGGGATTCAAGCACTCCCACTAGAAACCCCTGAGAAGGGGGGTCTTGCAGTAAGGTAAGCACTGAGCCAGATGGTGGATGAAGACCCCCAGTACTTCTCCACTACTTCCATGCCTATTGAATGCTTCCCTTATCTCTCTCGTCTTTTCTGGGTTGTCCTTTATCTGCCCCTGTACTTTTTCCCATCGCGCCCTGTATTCTGTCTCCACATACTTATCAGGTTCTCCTCTGCGTCATTGGTATGAACTTGCCGTTGCTCAATGGTCACCTGGCGTCTCGTTTTCCAGACTATCGATAGGGTGTATTGCCGTAGGTTCTGATAGCATTTGCACTCAAGCCAGGACCATCCCTGCGGGGTCCGAATTCCCATCAACAGGGTCTCCACTCCTTCTGGATATGGTGCACGAGACACCTTCGCCCACCACTCCTTTACCTTCCTCCATTCCTGATTGGCCTTGATACAGTTTTCAGTAGGCAGTGGGTCAAGGACTGTCTCTCCTGTCCCGTTCAAACGACACACAGTCCCTTCTGGGGTGAACTCCCTTCCCTGCTTCAGCGCCTAATTGTCCACCCGTTGACTGGAACTGATAAACATCTAATCAGCCACTGCAAACTTCTCACTTTACTTTAGTTCATAATACTTCATAAAGTTCATATACATTACAGAAGTGCAGCGCACAACAATCACAGTCTGTTTTTGTGTTTTTTTATTATTATTCATGTAATTTTCATTAAGTCAATTGCAGATTTGTCGTATCTAGAGTCTTTCTGCTGTGCTCTTTGTTTTGTTTTGTTTTTTCTCTTTTTCTGTTTCTTTCTGTATAAACCTTCTGCACCAATGAATATAGTTTTGTCACGTGGAGGAGTTTAGTCTGATGGAGCAGTTCATCTGTGACTACAGGTATCCCTGCACTTGGGCTGCCTGTATTCCCAGGTGTTTCTTCCATCTCTGTCCCAGTATTGGTTCCAGGGGACCAGGGGTTATTGCTGACAAGCGGTCCATTTCCCCATCTAATGGGGAGGAGTGTGTGTGAGTCTCTCATGTATTCCATATTGACTTGACGGGGGAATAGGAACCGGACTGTCGCTCCCCAGAATGGTAGCAGCTAGAACCATGAGGTTCTGTGTAAAAAGGCTGGATGGGAGAGACCGAGGTGCATGGAGTGTCTTGTCCCAACCTAAGCACAGGCGTAAGTCACGTAACCGTTAGAATAACCATGACTATAATATGACAGTATATGTAAATCATGTGCGATCAACAAAATTACCGGCAAACTTGGACAAACTTGGCAAAGTACTTTTTTTTTCTGCTCATTGTTGAACTTCCTAACCAGAGACATTTTGACTCGTCATAGGATAATAGGTGACTCAACTTGTCTGATCAAACAAATACTAAAAAAACGGACAGCAATGACTAAACAATGCCCACTCCACCAAGATCACTTCTTTTCCCCTTGCCTGTAGCATGCCTGGGCACAAACCCTGGACCTTAGGGTATGGGTCTGCGCCAGCCGATTGAGTACTGGACAGTTTGGAAGCTATCGGCATGGTGCTTCCGGTTGTTGTCTTCGAGGACTTTGGCACGGCAAAAAACTTTCGAAAGCACAAAGCCTGTGCGATTCTCACAGCTGATTGTGCATAAACCCATCTTTCACTGTCGATGCAATCCCTCAGCCAGAAGCTGGCCTGATTACCTGTTGTGGTGTCAGGCGATTCTCACAGCTGATTGTGCACAAACCCAGCTTTCACTACCGATGCAATCCCTCAGCCAGAAGCTGGCCTGATTACCTGTTCTGGTGTCAGGCGATTTCAAGCCGTAAATTGGTTGATATCCCTAGCACCATCAGCCTAGCTGAAGACAGAGTGGGAGTGGGAGATGGCCAAATTTCGAATGTCAGAGATCAAGCCACTCCATCATCAGAAAGCTAATTGCCATCTGAGGTCGTTGTTTATTTCAGATTCAGTGGCAGCAGGCATGCCAGTTTCCCCCTCCCACTGCATGTCTAAGTGGGCAGGCGCAAAGACTCTAACACCAAAGCATGGCCACGAGTTCCATATTTAGTGGAAGTAATGAATGTGTGCCAATCTATCATGATTAACTGACACAACACGCAAACGAAGGGCAGGATTAATGCCAAACACATGCACAAGGGTTGCTCTTTGATTGCACAGAGCTTGAGTATCGGCAGTGCCAAATGAAAATGTGTAGGATTTGTGTGTTCTGACGTGGAATTGTGCGAGTAGTATGTCATTAATTAGGGTTTGTTTGGAGTTGTCCTTCAGGACATCCTTTAAAATTGGAACGATACAGAGAAGATTTTCATCACCGCTGTGAAAGGATGAAACACGTAAATCGAGAAATGGTCAAATTAAAGAAAATGGGAGGTTTGGTTGGAGTTTCAGGGGGTGTTGAGGCTCCGGACTCAGGTAGAGGCCCAAGAGGGAATGCTTTACACGTCCCTTGGTGACTCGACCGTGATCATGTCCGTGACTAGGTCATGATTGAAGATATGAGGGAATGAATGACTTCCATGAAGAGGAAACAAATGCTGATCCGTTCCAATATTGCGTTATTTTGTCCATTAGGCAGATGAAAATGATCCCAGTACAAGCTGGTGATATATCATTACGTATGATGGTTGAGCGGGTTCTTCAGCCAGGGCTTGCTGCAACTGTTATGGAGCTCGTCAACTTCGCAGGCTGTGAGTTCCACACAAAGGAGTGGTAAGCTTCTGTTGCCTCCTCTCCTGCCTATTGCTATGACATAAGGACTCTTCTTCCCATCACAAAGAAGGTCCCACCGATTGCCTACATGTTATGTGCATGGATGCATAATTGTCCCTGACATAAGGACTCTTCTTTCAATCACAAAGGTGGTCCTTTTGTGAACCTGTTTGCTGCCTTGCCTTTATACCAGAGGCTTCCAAATAGAGTATGATATGCCCATAGCAACAACACAAATTTGACACCCATCAAAGGGATTGTGCTCGCATAGCAAATGATGTCTGAAACTAGCCAAGGCCTGAACCATGGATCTCTCCCTGGATGTACCAGGCCCTAGCCAGATGCACGCATTGGATTACGATTTTTAACCTTCCAAATAGTTCCGGTGCCTCCAGAGAGGCCCAATGGCCCATCAACCCTCCAGCAGACAGATCCCTGGGTAACCTGGTATTTTCGCACTTGCCATTTGGACTGTTTCGGTGCCAACATGTTCCCTTGAATGTTGTTTCTTTGATACTGAGGCATCCCCTACAACTATCTGAAGCCCGTCGGCTGTGGGGTCCGTTTTCATTGGATGCTGCACAGCAACGGGTTCTTTCAGCAGTGATTTTACTTTCTGCGATTTATGCCTTCTCCGGTACCAATCAGTTTTCACAGTCGACGTGAAAATCGCCCTCTGCCATGGACACGTAGGCACACGCACATGCACACATACGCACACATCTGGGTGGGAAAGGCATTGTTGCCGTGACAGTCTAAAGGTTGGAGAGACAGAAAGGTGAAAGTGGAGAGAGAAATGAAAGAGGAGGGAGGGTGAGGAGCAGGAAGAAACAGCAGGATAGACAGAAAGGAGAAGGTGGAGAGAGAGGTGAAAGATGACGGAGACTGAGGAGAAGGACGAAAAAGCAGTAGAAAGAAGGAGAATCGAGGGCATGCTGCTGGGGCACACTGTCACATACCAAAGGCCGCACAAGGAAAGCAAACATGAAAAAAAAAGAAAAGCAGAGTGCCATAAAAAATTGAAAATAGGGGGAAAAAATAACAAAGCATAGCAGCGTTGTCACCCCTACGGCCGGCGGCCTCCAATTGGTCGGGGGCCAACCAGCCGACCAGCCGGCCTGTCAGCACCGGCCGGTTGGCAGCTGGTCGGCACCCTGCAAAAAAAATAATAATAATAAAAAAAATTAAAGAAAAGTTAGAAAACCAAGCAAGATCCCCACCCAGCCCCC